GCGCGCCCCGAACCCACCTCAGGCGCACAAAACGGAGGCAAAGTTTGAGGTGAAACCCCGACCTCCGGGGCGGGCGAGGGAGGGAAGGGGAGCGGCCAGGGCCCTACTGCACCGTTTAATAGATTTATCATATAAAAAATACCTATGTACATTTATTATCCTCACATTAGGGGCAGCCGGGGGGGACGCGGCGGCGGCGGGAGGGCGATTAGACCCGACGGGGGGGCGCCGGCGGACGGGGGGGAGCCGGGGGGCTACGGGGGGGGCGCGGGGGGCCGGGGGTCAGTCGCGGTTGATGCGGAGGCGGAAGGCGACGCGCCCGGCGAACTTGTCGCGCTCGTCGTCGGTGCGGAGCCCGGCGGCGTTGAGCCGGCACTCCACGTGGTGATCCACGTTGGCCGTGGCGTTGGGGAACTGCACGGCCACCACCGGCTGCGTGTAGTTCACCTGGGGGGACAGGGGGGTGGGAATTGGGGACACACACACACACACACAACACCCCCGTTCCCGGGGATCCAGGGGGGACCCAACACCCCCATTCCCAAGGATCCAGAGGGGTCCCAACACCCCCATTCCCGGGGATCCAGGTGACCAGAGCAGGGAAAAAACCCGTTCCCAGGGATCCAGGGGGGACCCAACACCCTATTCCCAACACCCCCATTCCCGGGGATCCAGGGGGGACCCAACACCCCCATTCCCAACACCCCCATTCCCGGGGATCCAGGTGTCCAGAGCAGGAAAAAAAACCATTCCCAGGGATCCAGGGGGGTCCCAACACCCCCATTCCCTGGGATCTAGGGGGTCCCTATACCCCATTCCCAACACCCCCATTCCCTGGGATCCTGGTGACCAGAGCAGGGAAAAAAAACATTCCCAGGGATCCAGGAGGGACACAACACCCCCATTCCCGGGGATCCAGGAGGGACCCAACACCCCCATTCCCGGGGATCCAGGAGGGATCCAACACCCCCATTCCCAGGGATCCAGGGGGTCCCAACACCCCCATTCCCAGGGATCCAGGGGGGACCCAACACCCCCATTCCCGGGGATCCAGGAGGGACCCAACACCCCCATTCCCGGGGATCCAGGAGGGATCCAACACCCCCATTCCCAGGGATCCAGGAGGGACCCAACACCCCC